TCAAAGGAAACATTTTATAGACAAAGTCTAAAAAACCTGCAGTGCCATAAAAAATCGATATAATGTCACTTTTTAAGTCACGTAATACAGGTGCGGGTGGCAGTGTCCCCAGCGTCCGTAGTCAAACTAACCTATTGACATATATGGAAGTAGTATATGTTCACATGATAATTGCAATTTTAGTAGGTCTGTTAGGCATCTGGCACCTATATTTACTAACTTAAAAATATATCGATTTTTTTTACTTTATGTAGGTTCTTTTACAATATATAGATTTGCCTTTATAACATTTTCTTCATGCTCACTTGTAGCAAGCGCGGAATGAACTAGCAGCATACTAGCTGCTACCAAGTACACAAGTTGACATTTTATCGATTTTTGACATTATATAGCATCCTAACCGTCCATGACACAAAAACGAAAAAATGTCAACTTGCTGCCCAGATAGTTCCTAGTGTGCAGATAGTGCAATCCGCATTTGTTCGCTATGCGCGCTGTGAGCATCATCAAAAGCGTCCATCTATGGAGGAATAACTTGACACGACACGCTCAATGACCGTACTGCAAGCTGCAAGTCAGTTTTCCCACCATGCTGTGTGGTTGGTTGAGTAGCAAAATTACATCTGGATGATTTAGTGTGTGAGAAAATTATTATTGAATATGCTTCCAATGGAGTATATTTATTAGCTGTGTCAGACGGGTTATTTGTGTTGTCCTTTCTGAAGGGAGGTTATGTTCAAAGTAATACATTACGATTTTCCTCGTATTTTTCCGTCTTCAAAAACTTTGAGAAGTATTAAGAGGAATCAGGCCCGCACCCGCGTTGTACGTATTAAGCCCCAACATTTTCGCACTGCCTGTATTTTCTTCTTGAAATCGTAAAATAAATTTCTCTAAAATTCAAATAACTGGAAATAAAAATTATTGTAAAATGTAATAAATGTTTTAGGTATCATAAATATTCCTGTATGTACCATATTTTCTCACCTGTTAGTTTTACTATATTTCACCAATCAGGGATTTTCTTTTCTTATCGCTGTCTTTTTTAGAAAAAGCGGATGCGCAAATAATTTTTAGCTTTGCATACATCTCAAGTAAGTGTTTTTGAGGCAAGAAACCAATGGAATTGTCATCAACACAGAATATTAGCACACAAATCCTCACTTACAGCTTAGACCTCCAATAATGGCATCTCTGAAGCAGATTTTGCATCACATCAGAGCCAAACATTGACGTCTGAAGCATCATGACGTTTAGGCAACACGTACAGCTACGGTACGGGTACACAGCAAGTGTACAACAACACGTAGAAAAACCTACATAATGTTACAAAAAGCCTATATAATGTCAAAAAATCAACATAATGTAACTTTTCAAGACACTCCACCACATGGGGAATCGTCTCTACATATTACAAGGAAAAAACGAGCATAAACGATATATGATCAATTTTTCTTACATACTACGCTGGGTTGATAGGACAAAGCAGTATTTTACCCACCTTGTTTTAGTTCCCTGCGAGCGAATGGGAGTCGAAGTCACATGTTAGAAGGGAAAAGACAAGCAAAAACAATAGATAATAATTTTTCTTGCATACCGTTATGGGTTGACAGAAGATTGGCGTCCAGGTGTTTAATAATTAAAAACAATATTTATTGGTAGGCCGGTGACACAAAACAGTAGAACGCGGTGGGTATCCAAGAGAAACTGATAATATAATCTATTGTGTTTGCTTGTTTATTCCTTCGTAACATGTGTTTCCGATTTCCTATAATGGGAGGAGGGCGAACTGAAACGCGGCGGACAACGTGAAGGGGGGTAAGTCAGCCAACCCGGCATGCTTTGACATTGGCATGCCTGTCTGTATCACTCCATCCCAAAAATGCTTCTAACAGATGAACGACGGGACCGTCTTTTTTGAAGGTTCATAGTTCATATTGACCCACTAGTAGACGCTCGGGAACCACAACCCGTCAACCATTCCATTTCTCAGATACTCGTGCACCCAGTATTACTGGGTATGGAAAACCGTTCATCTAAGGGGATGCCATTGGGCTTGTGTCACCAGTTGTCCTATAAATATATTTTTTAATAAACAACTTGGTGCCAACCTAGCGCAGTATGCAAGAAAAATTGATTATTAATGGTTTACGCTTGTTTTTTCCTTCTAATATGTGCGAACGATTTCCCACATCGGGCAGAGGCGATCTGAGACGTGGTGGGCAACGTGGAAAGAGAGGACTTTGATATTGGCAGCTCCTTCTCTATCATTCCCTCCCAAAACATGAGCGACAGGATTGTCTTTGGGAGGTCCATATTGACCCACCTATCGACCCCTGGGAACAGGTGTCCGCCAACCCCTGCATTTCCTTGATGCCCATTCACATGGGAGTGAGAAATATATTTTCTAATAGATTTTCCTCTAGGGTTTTGTTTCATGGAGTGTTAGACCAAAGGTTTTTCACGCAATAACCCTGCCGGACAGGGAAGGTCCCTTTTGTCGGTTGATAATGTCACTCGACAATTTGGTACGTTTCCTTCTGTCTCTTAATTATAAAAACATATATATACAGGGTGTTTCAGTTTATTGTTGCATAACTTTAAGATTCGATAGAGCTTTTAAAATTAATGCATTTTTAATTATTTATGATAAATTAACGTTAAAAAGTCGGTATCTCGATAATTTGTAGAAGTAGGCTGAGCCTGCAAATATTTTTGAAATTAAAAGCAGAATAAGGTTAAACGTCAATTAGTTGACAGTTAGTTTTGTTGTCTGTTGAAACCTGAAACGTTTTTTTGCTTTTTAGAATGCACGAAATTTAGTTTCTTTTAAGTGTTTTTTTTGTAAGTTTTATAAAAATGCCATTTTTATTCTCCAATTAAGAGTTAGCGGATATTCATTTTGTATATGGCTGTGTAAATGGAAACGCAGCAGAAGCAGCCAGAGAATACGCACGAAGATTTTCGAACAGACGACATCCAACTCGCTCAGTATTTGTAAGAGTACATCGCCAAATAATTGAAAATGGTTTTGGAAATCTCCAAAGGGATCAAAACATAAATGTTCGGCAGCGCAGATTTACCCGTATGATTCTGCGTGAGTTTGATAGAGATCCGACCACAAGTGTTAGGAGAGTTTCTGGTGCCTTGTGAATTTCAGCAAGCCATGTTCACCGTGTTCTTAGAAATGACCATAGACGTCCTTACCATTTGCAATCTGTGCAAGGACTACAGCCAGGGGACGGAGAACGAAGAATAACATTTTGTCAGTGGATTCTTGATAGAACTGATAATAATAGGCAGTTTTTAAGTAACGTTTTATGGACCGATGAGTCATGCTTCACTAGACGTGGAGTGGAAAATTTTCATAATCAACGTGTGGATTGGTATCTACCGTAATCGACTATTTGGACCCTACCTTTTGCCTGCAAGGTTAAATGCTGCGACCTTCTTGGAATTTTTAAAGGCTGAACATGCGAATATGTGGGATGATGTTATGTTAGATTTAAGAAGATTGGCCTGGTTCCAGCTTGATGGTTGTCCAGCTCATTATTCGAGAATAGTTAGAAACTGGCTGGACGAATATTATCCAGAAAGATGGATCGGCCGTGGAGGACCAGTCGCCTGGCCTCCACGATCCCCTGACCTAAATCCATTAGATTTCTTTGTGTGGGGATTTCTGAAAGAAAAAGTGTACCAGACTCCCGTAACCACAAGAGATATGCTAATAGACAGAATCAGGAATTCATGTGATGAAATAAGTCCTTATTTGAATAATGCTATACCAGGTTCGATCATTCGTAGATGTGAATTGTGTATTGAACAATTGGGTTTACATTTCGAGCAACTACTTTAGATTTTGTATGTTTGTCCTAACTATCCAATAGCATTTTAGTTGTAAATAATTAATTTAATTTGTTAAAAATAATATTGGAAAGTTAAACAAATTAATATTCTGATTTTTTTGTGTTTATTTGGAGTTAGGAATTATTGCTGTGTTTAAAAACACAATCTAAACGATCATCTTAATTACTTGTAATGCCCAAATCGAAAATGTAAAAAAAATGTTATTTTCCCATAAATAATTAAAAGTGCGTCGAACCTTAAAAATCGAAATATCTCAAAAACGGCTACCTATAACGAAAACTCACAAGAAAGCTTTTTTATGTTGAAAAGTGCGAAGAATCAGTTTTTTTATTCAAAAAGAAAAAAATTGCACTAAGAAAAAATTTTCTGTCATTTTAATACACTACAGGTACAGTAGAGAGCGCCCTCTAGCGGCTACAGTAAAACTATGCCCATGGTTCGTTTTGTCGTACCAAAAACCCTTGTATACCAATTTTCACTATTATACATCAAATATTGTTCGAAATATTTAAAAAAAACTATTTTAGAAAGTAAATTTAAACACCCTGTATTTCGGAAGCCACGCATTTTTCGATCCATGTATATATTGACTTTATGCATTAGTTTTAAAAGTTCTATCGAATCTTAAAGTTATGCAACAATAAACTGAAACACCTTGTATACGTATTGTAGAACGATAGTATCGCACAAGTCATGTGCATAAACGGGCTTACACATAAATGCTTCTATCTTACCCCATTCAGAAGCAGATGTTACACGAACGCTAAATAGTCGCACTTTTGACGTTGCATTTTAACGATAGTTGTGTATTTACTCCGATAACATACATTGGTCAGAACCTTTCAAGGGTTCGTGAATAGTTTTTGGTTGTGGTTGCGTCTTTCGTAGGACAGTACAGTTATGAATGGGGAGCTTAATCCTTGACGCGGCGGCCATGACGATCCATTGCATTATCAAATTCCTTAAACAAACGACCAGTTGCACTTTTAATATTATGGCCATTCTTTGTCACTTACTTGATTACTTCAAAATTTTAAACATCTTCGTTCCGGCTTTGGTAGTTTGACATTCGTTTATGATTACGTTTGAAATAATACACGTCTTATAATAAATTGCTGTGGCTACAGAATAACCTTACGAACGCAATAAAATGTACTGCATTCATTCGTATTATTGCCACATTTCTCAAGCGGCAAAATAGTTTGGGCTCGCAACAATCTTATTCTTTGGTATCCTGATGAGTTGCCACTGGCAAAATTGATGAATTGATGTGTGCAGATGACGGCGACCCAAGGAGTTGGCGGTGGGGCAAATCCGTTGGTCAAACAGGCCTCGGCGTTCGGGCAGACGATGTCGGGGTTGAAGTTGGCATTGAACAACCTCCAAGACAAGTGCAAGGCCAAGGACAAGTTGATCCAGGCGATGACCGGGGAATTGAAGACACGCATCAGCAGCAAAACGTTTGATCATATTATCGCGGCTCGGAACTGTGACGCTCCAGACTATGATAAGGTGAGGAACGACGAATATAGCAATATTCAGCTGACAAGAAATTAAGAAGTTTGCAGATGCAGCGCAGGTTATCAGAGATTTCTTTGGGGAAACTAAAACAACATTTCCTACGAATCATGATAAAAAAATGTCAAATTTCATTTGATTATGTGTAAAGGAACCCATCGGAACGGCATCTCTCCTATTCAGTCTCCTTCGGTGTAAAAAAATACCTTCGGGTCGGGTCCTCCGGGCGTACCTTAAAACTCTTATATATGTCCTCCCAGAGAAGCTGGATGGCTGACTTTCTCTCTGACCGAAAGATATCCGTCGTAGATGACGGGCTCTCCTCTTCATCTCACAACGTCAACGCGGGTGTTCCCCAGGGATTGGTCTTGGCTCCGATATTGTTCCACTTATATATCAGTGACCTCCTTTCCTGTACGATTAATCGACCCACAGCTTTGTTGATGTCGGCACTGTACATGAAAGAATTCAGAGGGACAAGCCGATCTCTGCCGGTGAGCTGGAGAAAAGAATACTAGCAGAGATTCGCTCTCTGACGAGAGACCTGAAGGTTATCATTGCTTTTGGATGCAACAATGTTGTACAGTTTAATGCTTTCCAAACATAGTACTGTACCTTGATTAACAATCGCACACCCGGTTTCGGTAGATGGTCGAGCTCTACCAAAGAGCCGTTCATTTCGGCTGGTTGTGATCCAGATCACCGAGGACTTGATCTGGCACGTACAGATCTTGTCAATAGCTGCTGGAAAAAGCTAAGCAATTTGTTTAGAACTAAGAAGTAATTTTCTCCACATGACCTCCTCACTCTATACAAGGCCCAGATAAGACCTAGCCCTGAGTACTGCTCACATGTTTGAAGTGCTGCCGCCCAGATTACATTATCTACGCTCGATGCTGTTTAGAGGCGGCCGACTGTTCGATGACTCTTCTCTAACAGACACTCTTGGGAGTCTTTCGCACTGGTGGGCCGTCGTCAGTCTAACTCTCTTCTATCGCTACGCCAACGGGCTTAGCTCCTCAGAGCTCTCGTCCATAATGCCACCGCGCGATGTACCTGCCAGACAGACCCGCCTGACTTCGGCCTCCCATCCTAACCGTGCCAAACTTCGTACATCCAGAACTGGCTGATATAATCGTCTTTTTGTCCCTAGGGTATCGAGATTGTGGAACAATCTATCTGAGGAAGCTTTTCCTGATTCTACTAACCTTAGGCGGTGCAAAAGTCAAATTCACAAGGTTTCTTTAATCCTCTCATACTATAAACTTCTGCCTGCGCTGCTACTTCGGTATTAAAAAGAGCTCCCTCGGTACATTATTCGATTGAATTGAAATAGACGAAATTTTTTGTTAGCTGATTGCTGGAATAATTTTTCAGCTTTTTTCACATCAGAAAAAATGGTGCATTCTCAAAAGTACTGATTTTCTGCAACGATTTTTTTTATTATATGAACAAAATTGGTTACAATGTAGGAAAAATCACAGCCTTTGCCTTATTTGAACGTAGGCTTCCATATAGCCTTCCCTTTTGGTCTGTTTGTTCCCATAGTTGTTTAACTCTACTAAACCGAACTATTAGATATATAACCTAGAGCTATACACAGGCTTTTATTTACTGGTCCTAAAATAGTTACTGCCTTATCATTGTTAATTTTAAAAATGGCAACTCCTATTCTTTCAAATAAATCTAAATAAGGTAACATTAGATATAAGTTATGATAATAGTCGAAAACAAGATCTTAAATTAGTAGTACCTAAATCAACACGTGTGCAAAACTCAATAATTTGCAATGATCTGAAAGTGTACGTATCTCTCCGATGCTATCAAAAGAATGACAGATATTCCGCCGTGAACTTAAAAACTTTCTAATATGTAAACCATATTATATCAGGTGTGATTTCTACAATTCATTTACATGTAATCATGTTACAGCTTAGTTTTAAGTTAGCCTTGTCATTAAGAATGATTGTATTCTTTAGAACTTTAGACAGTAAAGCTTATCTATCTATAGCCTGAAAAAGCGCTCATATTTTTTGTCGAGTTTCAGGGAGGTGATGTAAAAACCCCAGCGCCATCTACGAACGTCTTATACACCGTAAATGAAGAAAACACTGACTTCGACGTGAAACTATCGAAGGCCGTCGCAACTGAAAAACACAAACACAAACGAAGGACTAAAGGATGCAAATGCGGCAAAAACCATAAGGACAAAGAGAAAGACTCGCACCAGGTAGATCTGACAGGTCAGTGGAGTACCCTAAAGCTCCCCATTCATATACTGATATATATCGACGGGATCTCACGCATGGTTTTCCTGTTCAACTTCGTAACGATCTGCACAGTAGTAGTAGTAGTAGTAGTGAGGAGGCGCAGCCAGGCAAGCAGGCCGCCTTTGGCCCTGTTTGCCGATACTGTGTGTACCAAGACTCTTCTTCACATGTCATTTCACTAATCTGTGGAACCTTCCTGATCTTCCATTGAAGTATATCCGACCATCCCGCTGAGTAAGCAACTTCCAAAATTCAGCCCTTACAATACGTGGGGCAATACAATAGTTCCTAAAGGGGACCGCTGTTTCGCCCTCCTCCCACCACATGAGGCAGTTTGGATCTCTCTTCGCCCTTTTTTTATATATATATATATATATATATATATATATCGAAGCAGCCGCGTAGACAGAAGCCTAAATGCCGGAACACTGCGGCTGCTATGATGACCCCAAAGAAATATTGTTAATACGATTTTTGAACTGTCTAAGGTTAGTAGAACTGGGAAAAACTTCCTCTTGTAGATTGTTCCACAATCTCGACACCCTCGGGACAAAGGTGCGGTCGTATCGGCCAGTTCTGGATGTACGAAGTTCGACACGGTTAGGATGGGACGCCAAAGTCAGGCGGGTCTGTCTGGCAGGCACATCGCGCGGCGGCATCAAGGTGAAGAGCTCTGAGGAGCAAATCCCGTTGGTGTAGCGATAGAAAAGAGCTAGATCGCCGACGGCCCGCCGAGACTTCCTGTTAGAGAAGAGTCATCGATCAGCCGGACCGCCCTCCTCTGGACAGCATCGAGCATTCATAATATATTCGGGGCGGCAGCACCCCAAACGTGTGAGCAATACTCGAGGCTAGGCCTTATCTGGGCCTTGTATAGAGTGAGGTCATGCGGAGAAAAGTACTTCTTAGCCCTAAACAAATAGCCTAGCTTTTTCCCAGCACCTGCAGCTACTGACGATTGACGATTTGGCAGAAATCGGCCGTCCATCGAAACTGGATGAGCGCTAGGACGCTTTTTGTTCGTCAAAGTACAGTACTGTGTTTTGGAAGCATTGAACTGTACAAGATTGTTGCGTCCCCAAGCAGTGATAGCCTCCAGGTCTCTTGTCAGAGAGAAAGTCGTCGCTAGTCTTCTTTTTTCCAGCTCAGCGGCAGAGATCGGCTTGTCACTCTGGATTCCTGCATGTAGAGTGCTGTCATCCGCGAACCTGTGGATTGGGTTGATCATGCAGGAAAGGAGGTCGTTGATATGTAAGAGAAACAGTGTTGGAGCCAAGACTGATCCCTGAGGAACACCCGCGTTGACGGTGTGAGATGAAGAGGAGAACCCGTCAATTACGACGGATATCTTGCGCCCAGAGATAAAGTCAGCCACCCATCTGCAAATCTTTTCTGGGAGGCCATAGGATGGGTTTGCTTAAGAGGGCAGCGTGCCTCAGCTGATCGAACGCTTTCGTGATGTCAAGAGCAACGACATGAGCATCACCATAAGACTGGATTGGTTTACTCCATAATTGCGTGACGTAAGTTAGGTCCCCTGTGGATCCTTGATGCCGGAAACCATACTGCCTATCGCTAGTCAAGCTGTGACGATCGAGGTAATCAAGAAGCTCGCGATTTATGCACCTCTCCATCACCTTACTTATAACAGAAAGCAGAGCTATAGGTCTGTAGTTGGGGGGGTCGGTCTTAGATACTTTTTTTGGGATGGGTTGGACATGAGCAAATTTCCAGTTTTCTGGGAAGGTGCCGGATTCGTAAGATATCTGGAAGAGACGCGAAAGAACTGGAGTAAGCTCCGCTGCACATCTCTTCAGTACAACGGCAGGAATCAAGTCCGGACCAGAAGCTTTGTTGATGTCGAACGACAAGAGCACTCGTCTTACGATCTTATGCCTGAATGTTACCTCCCGCATAGTTTAGGGAACCCTTTGAATTGACGGCACTTGTGCATGGTCCAAAGTGATAAGTGTCTGTTCTGTCTACAGTGGCCGGTGGGAACTCCCGCGAAAAAGTTGGGTTATTATCTACCCCTTACAAATCTAAGCAACTAAATCTATACGGTAATTGCAAGTTATTTAACGGCAAAAGTACGTGTGAGTGGTGATTTTAACTTTCAGGAAACAGCTCGCTCATCCTCAATTATTTCAATATCCGTATGTACATAAGTGGAAAGCGTTAGGCTACGGTTACTATCGATGCGAATTCTCTTGAAGTTTGTTTCTGACTAATTCGTCCAAATAAACATGCACCTCCTCCATATTTCTCTGGGCAATCAAAACCAAATGTATACGATAGTGTGAAGGGAGCCGTAACATTCTGAGATTGCGCGAAGCCATCATTCCAAATTTTAAGATGGCACGATGCAAAACCCTCATAGCCCAGGATCGCCTGGGGTAGGCATCCCCACACCCCCACTCCAAGACGACAAGTGATCATAAGGTTATCTGTCGTTTTTTTTCAATTTACCAGATATGTTACCGTCATCCATCGTCATGAAAACGAAAAAAGCTCTCCAAAAAAAAGCGAAAACCCTTCTAAAACTGTTGTAACACATCGGCTAATTCTTATAATAATCTTCAACTAAAATGTTCCAAATGTATTGTTTATGGATTAGAAACGATAGAAATAGTACTTAGATATTTAAAGGGAACTATACT